TTTAAATAACTAAAAGAAGAAAGTCATATATACCTAGGATGCATTGAGGGTGATTAAATCATGGACTAATTTGTGGGTGAACTAAGCCTTTCATTCTCTGAGTTTTAATCCATAAGTTGTCAGTGATGTTGTCCACGAGGACACTGATTGGACAGTTTGGACAAAGAGATTTCAGTGGGTTTCAGCAGACAGGATGGATTCACTGAGCTGATCAACATCATTCCTCTGGATGCACAATAATGTCTCAGATTATAATCTCGGTCTTACTGTTTGGAAGTTACATAAAGCCGCGAATGAATTTAATGCCATGCAGCTTTAGGTTTAATGTGAATTCAGCCTTCATTCTCTTAAATCTTGCTTAAAGTTGCCACAAAATGAAAACTCATTCTATCTGTCTTGTAAATGCATGTTATGGATATTATTTTGAACAATTCATCTATGCTTATGTTGGACTTGGCATGAAATGGACAACGCGATAATCTTTTTTTTTCCTATTTTGACGTAAGAAATGGGTGAAATAAGAGGAGAAGATCGAGGGAAAGTTATTTTGATTAAAGATTATAAGGGGCACATTCATTTTAAAAAGCAATGCTACACTTTAGTATTGCATTAAAATGGTCATTTTGTTCCATTATAATTTCATTGTGACTAAAATCAAAAGTTCTGATTGAAACGACAGATTTCTCCCTTGGTGAAACAAAATGCAAGTATTTACTGTGTTTTTGATAATACTTTTACATACAGATTCCTGTTGTCAAAACGATGTGTTTATAAAAGCCTGTTACGTGCATGCCAGGCCAGTAGATGGCAATCACAAGCTTGCACACATACAGTCCTGTAGTCCACCATCTTTTAATTTGTTCACAATTAGCATTAGTTCATAGATATATACATTAGATGTCGCCTACCCTGTTGTTGTCTATTGGAAGGAATACGTCAATAGAGCCGCCATTTTGAAACAAGGTAGCGCTCATTTGAAATGAATGTGGGACCAAGGTACAGTGGAGGACTGTGGCTATCCAAAGCCAGAGATTTACATATATACACATATATCTATGATCGGTAGTTTTCCTGGATGTTAGTATGCAATTTTTTTTTTTTTAATTACGAAAATTATAATTTTACATTACATTTTCGCACTGATGGATCAGTGATCGCTCTGGCATTCCTGACAAAAAGCTTGTGTTTGTGTGTACAGAATTGTACTATCCACCCTCCCTGTTAAATTTGATCTAATCCGTGTCCTGAAACACAGCTCCTCTCCTGCTTTCACTTGTCATACTGATGGAGGGAGCGATTCGTTTGTGAATGAATCTCCGTTATGAAAGACTCCTTCACTTAGCCGACAATAATACAAGTTTCTGGCAGCGCAGCATCTCGTTGTCATATTTCTTTTGCATTGTTTGCTGATTTTATAAAAAAACTAGCATAAGCCGAGTATTTAGTGCGAGTTAGAGCTACTTTGACTTATAGTGAATGCAGTAAGTGACTGTATCATCATCAGTAACACTACCTGTTTAGCACAAAAGTTCAGAACATACAAAAATGTAAAAAAACGTAATCTTACCTATGAAATGTTCTGCCTTTGTGCTTTGTTTTCTTTGTTTGCTCGTTACTACACCCGTAGACAGCGCTAAAGTCCCGCATCTTCACATTATAACACTGTCTTGACCTGGTCTTGACTAGTGCGGTTGAATGACATTTGTCCTGGGAGCACTGTACCAATGTGGCAGCGCTATTGACGCATGCTCAGGGTCCCTATGCGATATCTAGTGTATATATCTATGGCATTAGTTAAAAACAAAAACACTAGTAATTAATGATTATCCAAACATTCAAGGGTCCTGCATTTTGTTATTAAATTAACTATATTTCTATCTGTATCACATTGTAATGTAAATGTAAATGTAATGTGTATTTATATAGCGCATTTATTGTGTATGGCAATACACCCAAAGCGCTTCATAATCATGAGGGGGGGTCTCTCCACACCACCACCAGTGTGCAGCATCCACTTGGATGATGCGACGGCTGCCACAGGACAACGGCGCCAGTGCGCTCACCACACACCAGCTATTGGTGGAGTGGAGGGACAGTGATAGAGCCAATTCGGTGGAGAGGGGATGATTGGGAGGCCATGATCGTAAGGGCCGATAGAGGGACTTTGGCCAGGACACCGGGGTTACACCCCTGCTCTTACACGGGATTTTTAATGACCACAGAGAGTCAGGACCTCGGTTTAACGTCTCATCCGAAAGACGGCGCCCACTGACAGTTTAGTGTCCCCTTCACTTTTACTGGGGCATTAGGACTCACACAGACCACAGGTTGAGCGCCCCCTGCTGGCCTCACTAACACCACTTCCAACAGCAACCTAGTGTTCCCTAGTGGTCTCCCATCCAGGTACTGACCAGGCTCAGCCCTGCTTAGCTTCAGTGAGTAACCAGTCTTGGGCTGCAGGGTGACATGGCTGTGGCATTGGTTTGCTAGGTACTGGAGATCACTTTAGAATGGGATCAAATTGTCGATATGATCACTTTATTAGTAGCAGTTTAGCAGTAACTATTAGCTTATTCTAGTCCATAGAATGTGGATATCACTTTCACTTTAGAATAGGGGGTCAAATTTCCTTTATTAACACTATTAATGACATTCTAGCCTTAATTATTAGCTTGTTCTATCTAGTCAATAAATTTGAATATTCCCCAATAAGTGCCATAATTAATGTGAATATAACTTTCACTTTAGAATAGGGGCTCAAATTTCCTTTATTATCACTGTATAACTGACATTTTAGCCTTAATCAACTACTAGCTAGTTCTAGTCAATAAACTTGAATATTACTCAAGTGCTATTATAAACATGGACATAAGTTTAACTTTAAGACATGAGGTTAAACTATGTTTATTACACTATTTTAGCCAAATATAATTGCAAACAAGCAGTAATTAAACATAATTATTGCTTGTTCAGTTAACTTACACAATGAATCAAAGAAATAATATATGGCTTATCAAATTGTACATAATTGTTAAAATGACCTTACGTTCAGGTAATCAAGAATTATGTGTTTCTCATGCTTAACTGATGCATAATTTTGAACAAGTTAATTATGATTTACAAGTTTAACTAAGCTTAACTAATGCATAACTTGGGACCCTTAAAATGTTTAGCTAATCATTAATTACTAGTGCTTTTGTTTTTTTACTAATGCTTAATTGTGAACAGATTAACCATAAATTAATGCTTAACTAATGCATTATTTTGGACCCTTAAAAAAAATTTTACTACTTTTTCGTTGTTGTTTAGGCCCCGTTTAGTGCGTTTTAGAATGAAAACGATCTGCGTCCACACTAGCATTTCACCCAGCGTTTCTGAACAGCTCTCTGTCTACACCACACCACTGAAAATGCACATCACGTGACCACACACACACACACTCTGGCATGCGCTGCAGCATGTCTACCCAGATGAGAGCTGTGCTTTTTATCAAGGATCTACCGCTCTATCCAATCTCACTATATTTGTTAAACGTGATATTTAATTCATCTTATTGTCTATATCCAACCACATATTACCTGACTTTGGTCTTTTGAATCTATTACTTGTTCTCAGACAACGTGTTTTGGCTGAGTGCAAAGATAAGTTAATAATTAATGTAACCACAAACATTCTGTATATTGACTGATTGCTTGCCTTTATTTCCTATAATGTAAACTTATTGTTCGCTATACTTTTATAATGGCCGTTATTGATTATTAAAAGTTACATTCAGCAAAAGATAGCTTATGTTTCGTATTTTTTCACTGAAAATGAAAGGAGGAAGTGATGTTATAGGCTCTATTTTGTTATAAATATGCATACAGTGAAGGTGACGGTCATATAAATATGCAGCTACACGAACGTACGTAGCCAGTGTGATGTAAATAAGGCTATAAAGTACACTGTTCCCTTTAAAGATTTACCCGATGTGTCCTCGGGAGTTTGTTTTCCATATCAAACTTGCTAAGTCTGAACTTACAAGGAGAGGATGCGAGACTGAACTGTGTGTGTAGGCTACTTAATATTGAGGGAAAATCAGAGAGGCAAATGTCTGCAGCCCTGTCTCCGTTTTCAGATGTCTCTGTTTTCCCCCATCCACAATGAGACGGAGCTGCAGCGTTTTAGAATGAAAACGGCCTATTCAGCTTTTCCAAAATGCTCTGTTTTCAGCACTCAAAAACTCCAGCGTAGTGTGGACAAATACCGTAGCGAAACTTATTCGTTTTAAAATTAAATCGTATTGTTGTAAACGGGGCCTTAAGAGTAACCAAAGTACCTTTGAAGGAAAGTCTGTTCACTCAGCGGCCAAATTTGCAATGCCCCCCGATAGTTTGTTCAAGACTAAAGCCAGGCCTAAGTGAATGTGAGAATCCTGAAATCTTAAAAACTGCCTGATTACCTCGTAATTAAATTATATATTTAAAATCAGCAATAAAATCTAAGGTGACCTGTCCCATATAACTGTACACTGTAAAATGTAAAAATTTAAACTAATAACTTCAGCTTGGAACAACTACCTTAATTAGTTAATTTTCACTTCAGTTGTTATGGTTTTCATTAATAAATGAGTTCATTCTTTTGGATGTAAGAAGTTGAAGTAATTTGTTTAAGTTGATCCAATGAGGCTTTTTTCCGGTGTCGTTACTTAAGCACTAATTAATAGCTCTGTTTGCTACAGCTGTGCATGCACAAAGATTGGCAGGCCATACCAAGTGTTGTACTTTTCCTTATTCATAGTAATGAGAGCGAATCATCTTTGTATGTCTATAGTCTTTGGAGTAACGGCCCATAAATTAAAATCCAATCAAAAACTCAAAAATAAAAATACAGTCCCCATTTTACATTTTTAAATACATCATTATACATGTCATAATACAGGAGTAATTATCTGCTGCTAATTCCAACTTTTAGTCATTGTTATGTTTTTTTTTATCTGTTTTGTTGTGTTTGTGTTGCAGTGAAGCCTGTAATCCCCAGATGTAGTGTGCCAGATGCAGTTACTGTAGGTTCAAGCACTGAACTGCGCTGTATTGAGAACGAAGGCTTTCCTCAGTCACAGTACCAGTGGTTCAAAAACAGCGAGGAGCTGCCCGAGGACCCAAAAACCAGCAGCAAGTTCTACAATTCCTCATACATCATGAACATTGAGACTGGCTCTCTGGTAAGTGTTTGGGGCTATTATGCTAGCAAAACAACTTGTTTATTATTTTAAAATTAGAGGAGAGTCTGAAATGTCACCTTAAGTGCAAGAATAAATATTGGCTTCTTTTAAAAACTGTACATTTTCCTTTTCAGTAGGTAATAAACTAGTAGTTTGGAATGTCTAAATCCACAATACTCATAAACGAGTACTCATACTGTAAATACTAAGGATACACAAAAAGTACCAGAATAACCACCACTTATAGTGTGCTTATTATGAACACTATATTATGAGGCCACAGGTATAGTTGACTCAAAAATACACTCAAACCAGCAAAATGTAGGTTAGTTTTAGCTGAAACGGTGGCCATTGGCAGTTCAAACAATGTTAAGTCAATTACGAGTTAAACAAATATATACAAGCAAAACCAAAAAAGTTCAGTCTGTACAAGAAACATTATTTACAACATTATTACATTTAATCCACAGCTTCATCAAACAGTGCTTTTACAATAGACTATATCATGACCTTCCTTTAAAATAACAGAATATTACTGAGAATAGAATAATAGTAGAAAATAGAATAGAGTAGTACTGTTTCTTATCCTGAATGCTGCAACCTATATAAAATCATTGTAAAGAAACAGCATGAATGCAATTATGTATCAGGAAACTTGAGCTCCAGACTGCTGTGAATACTACTGTAGGACCATTTGCTGAGACTAACACTAAATGTGCATTTACGTTTAACATTAACTGCGATTGATCCACAGAAATTCCGGTCGGTAAAGAAAGAGGATGCGGGTGAATATTATTGCCAGGCCAGAAATGAAGCCGGATGGTCAAAATGTATTCGACAGAGCATGGAAGTGTGTAAGTGTGACCCCTTTTAACTTGATTAATATTTTATTAATTATTGATTAATATTTGAAATATTAATATTTGAAATATTTGAAATAATAATTGAAGTTTTAATATGGTATTCTTTATTATTAGTAGTAGTATTAGACAACATTACAACATTTATTTTTCAGTTTAAATGTAAAACAAAAGCCCATTTCTCATCTCGGAGCTGCAAAAATTAATTAAAAATGACTATTAAAGTAAACCTACACTGCAGGACTCAACCCACTAGTGCAAAGTTTAAACAGTTGACCAAACTTTGACCCTGAAGATAAATAATATTTCCATTTACACTTACTGTTTTGTAATGTATTCTTAATATTTAGGTGTTGTTTTCACGAGGTATGTCAACAACACACATAAGTACATTTAATGTAAATAATACATTTAAAAAATACCTATAGTTTTAAACATACAGTGATACAGTGCATCTGGAAAGTATTCATAGCACTTCACTTTTTCCACATTATTTTATGTGACAGTCTTATGCCAAAATGTATTAAATGTATTTATTTCCTCCAATTCTACACACAATACCAATATATATATATATATATATATATACATACAATGAAATATATGTTTAGCACACGAGATCTAAGATGTGTACTAATTTTTCAATTTTGGATGAACTATTAATTTAAGCACAATTTTTTTTTTCTTTATCTAGATGACTTGGACATTGTGGGAATATTTCTGAAGGTTTTGGGTGGAGTTGCAGCATTTATTTTTGTCATTGTGGGAATTTGTCAAATTCAGAAAAGTGGTTACTGTTCCTGCAAAGATCACAGAGAAACCAAGTGAGTGAAAAAACATCATCTGGAAAGATAAAGTGGCAGATGATTAAATTGGCAGTTCATTCATTTTTTTGTGCTCTGTTTCATACAGCTACAAAGTACCCCAACATGAAAACAGGATGGAGTACACCACTCCAGATGAGGTATGGCTTTATAGATCTCTGACAAGACATTTATCATTTTAGTATTTGCATTAGTACCAGGGTATCTGCAGGGTTTTAAAAAGTCTTAAAATGTCTTAAATCTACTAAAATATTGTGTTGTAGGTCTTAAATCATTTTTAACATTCATTCATTCATTTATTTTCTTTTCGGCTTAGTCCTTTTATTAATTACTGGTCACCTCTGCGGAATGAACCACCATACAATCAAACTTTTAACTTTTTATTTGAAAATAGCATTTAATTACTTTCCTTTCAGTAATTTGTTAAAGTTTTCTATTTATTTGTTTATAAGTTTTCAATCTGGGCAAGGCAGTGGCGCAGTAGGTAGTGCTGTCGCCTCACAGCAAGAAGGTCGCTGGGTCGCTGGTTCAAACCTCGGCTCAGTTGGTGTTTCTGTGTGGAGTTTGCATGTTCTCCCTGCCTTCGCGTGGGTTTCTTCCGGGTGCTCCGGTTTCCCCCACAGTCAACGGACATGCCGTACAGGTTAATTGTGTAGGCTAAATTGTCCGTAGTGTATGAGTATGTGTGTGTGGATGTTTCCCAGAGATGGGGCATCTGCTGCGTAAAAACTTGCTGGATAAGTTTGTGGTTCATTCCGCTGTGGTGACCCCGGATTAATAAAGGGACTAAGCTGACAAGAAAATGAATGAATGAATGAAAGTTCTCCATTTATTTACTGCTGAAGATACTGACCTGACCTAGATTTTTTTATGATTCAATTATTATTCTTGTAGTTTTAAATGTGTTAAATTATAATCATTTTTGATAGGGCAAGTGAAAATCCTTTCCAAGTGAGATGTTCAAATAAAATCCTTAGCATTTATCCTGTTTAAGTCTAAAATTTCACTTTCAAATGTTTAATTAACTTGGTAAAACCTGCAGAAACCCCGAGTACACATCTAGGCTCCGTTTACACTAATACCTTTTAGTCTTAAAATGCATAACTTTTGCTATGGTTACGTCTTCCGTTCACACTAACTCAGAGTTTTCGAGTTCTGAAAACTGAGACTATTGAAAACTCTGAAGGGGCCATTTTCGTTTTAAAATGCTGCTGCTCCGTATCAGTGTGGATGGGGGAAAACAGAGACATCTGAAAATGGAGGTGTTGCTGCAGACAGTTGGTTATCTGATTTGGGCTTTTTCTTAATATTAAGTGCACAAAGTTCAGTCCTGCGGCCTTTCCTTAAGTTCAGACTTTGTCTGGTAAATGTTCAAAGGGAACAGTGTACATTATAATGTCATTCACATCACCCTGACTATGTTGTTTCACTATCAACAATAAAATGAAAACATGAGAAGGATAAGGAACTTCCTATTTTCATTTTGATATTAACAACTAAACAGATGTTAAAAAATGTTGAGGGCATCGTGTAGCTGCATATTTATATGACCATCATCTTCACTGTGTGCATATTTATAACAAAACAGAGTCTATAACATAACGGCCTCGATTCATTTTCAGTGAAAAGTACGAAACATACCCTCTCTTTTGCTGAATATCAATTTTAATAATCAGATAGATTAATCAGAGATCTTGTTAGATATAGACAAGATGAATTAAATATCATGTTTAACATCAATAGTGAAATGAGATCCAGCGGTAGATTCTTGATGAACTGTCAGAAGTGTGCTGCTCTTACCTGGGTAGGTGAGCTCAAAGCACCTGCTGACTGCCTGGAAACGTTTTTCGAGGTGTAGTGTGGACGGAGAGCTTTTCGGGAACGCCAGATGAACACCGGTGGTGGACGTGGATCATTTTAAAATTTAAACGCATTAGTGTGAATGGAGCCGATCACACCGAGCGCGCACTTACGTTTCAAAAACGCGAAGCGCACTGCACTGCCTTTTTGTTAACAAGAAAAAAAGGAGCGCTGTTCGATTTTTTTTATGTCGCTAGGCAACGATTGAATCAGCTGGATGTTTTGCAAGAGTGTTGCTGTTGATATTAATATAATTTTAATATCTAATAATATTGTGATATTCAAGATTTGTGAAGTCATACTGCTTGGATAACCCAGAACAGCAACCACAAGTGTCTCCTCCATTTTCAAAAGTCTCCCTTGTTGTCTTGACAACACAAACACTGAAGGCACCTCTACGGAAACCCAGCATCTGCTTTCATTTGATTGGAGAATGAAACAGACGAGAGTGACCTAACACGCTTTTTCCGCGCAGACTTTTTTTCAACTGAGAGCACACGGCGCACAAGGGCAAAAATGTGAGGCGCAGCAGGCGGTAGGGCGCATAAGCAACACGCAAAACACTCATAGCCTTTAGTAAACCATTCAAAAAAGGTGCCTCTCAACGCAAAAAATGTGTTCGGTGTGATCGACCCCTTTGAGTTCTTAAAATGTATTTCAATCAAGAATTGTTTGTTTGCTATTGTCAGTAAAGCTCATAGTGGTATTTGTGCAATCCTCAAAATAATCTCTGAGTAACATATATTTGACTGCGTTTTGTGGTTTGCCCCTGCAATGTCACTACAAATAACCTGATTACTCATCTTGTTTTTCCTCAGGGACATTTTCGCCACAAATCCTCCTTCGTCATCTAGAATCAAAGACGAGGAGATGTACGCTTCAGCTGTTTGAAAGCCTGAATTGTGAACTGTCTGATTTTATGCAGAGGTGCGACTTCATGGTTTGCCAAAGTTATTACTGAAATGAAAACTACTGTGTTAAACTGGGAATTTTTACTCCCTGTATTTTCATTTAGGCAAACAGGAATTAGTTAGAAATAAAACGTTTACATATAAAAGTTTTCAATACAGCATACTCTAATTTATAACAGTTATATGCATCTTATTAAGGTAACAAGTCAGTTTCGGCGAATCTTATGCAGTAACAAAAGTTGAGTTTTCAAATAATTGTGAATTTCTGTATGACTTAAAATGAGGCTAATGAAATGAGTTGTTATCATAGCAAGGTCTAAATTACATCCAGATGCTGCTGTATTTTTTTCCAAAAGTAGTCAACACACAATACCAGTGCAAGAATTTACTTCTTCAAGGTAAATGTGGTATATCCCACTGGAAATATAGTGTGTGTGACTATGTGAAGAACCCTGTCAGTGTAAATGTGTACAATGCCATGCCAAGACTGTTCATCTGGGTCACTTTTTGACGAGGATTTCATGTGTTAGTGTTTTAGTAGCATTTCGTTCACAGACAGTAGATTCGTAGCATTTCAGTTTGAGGTTTAATCAAACATCTCGGTAAAGTCAGTCGACTTGGTTGTGCAAGATGATTCGTTTATTTAGTTTCGTTTTCGAAATACTCCTCTAGATACAGATTACGCACTTGTGGCTTTTTCAGAGTGCCATTTCTGTGTTTAAGTGACCTTCAATGCTTTATAATTGTTTTATACGTTTTGGACATATTGTCCAGGTTTTTTGACTGGGTGTTATTGTTTTAATCTATTTATAATATATACATATATAAACTCGTACATTGTAGTTCACTTCAGAATAGTAGACTGTGGGCCTTGTCACAAGAATAAACATGATAATGTGGAAGTAATCAACATCGTCTTTTATTTCATTTTGTTTTCAAAATATGAACCAATACTGTGTATCTACAGTAATATGACCATCAAATTGACTTTGTTTTGATTAATTACTGTGGAAGTGAGTTATTAACTTGATATTTGACAACCAGAATTTGAAATAAACTCATTATTTGCATCAAATTTTCTTTCAATTTTATAATTATTTTGAGGCACTATGAGAATATATTTGTCTTCCTCTTGGCATGTCCCACTGTCAAAAACTATTTTCAAAACTGTTCATGAAAAACAGCCTTGGTTCGGTTATTGAACCTCATATGCCATCTTAATAGTTACATCCAACAAATAGGCAAATATAATGGATAAGCCTATGCAAAATAAAGGGCCAGATACTTTATATTTAAGTATGTAAGCAAATGTAAAGACAGTATAATTTAACAAAGTGCTTATGAATATTATTCAGAGTATTTGATGGCAAGACATTTTAATGTAACCTTTTCTTTATAGTAAAGTATTATAGCATTTTAACTGTAGTTAATTGGTCAGAAATGAACCCATGTAATGCTCTGCCACAATGTTTTCAAATGATTCTGTATTTGACTTCAAAAATACAATAGTATGAAATACCTGACATTCCAGCTATGGTAAATGTTGAATGTACACTATGTCCTTGATATTTAAGTTACACTGCAAACAAATCTTAACCAGAAATTATTATTATTATTAGGTCTCATTTGATAACATTTGTTAACAATAACTAGCAGCAAAATATTTGTTCATCCTTATTAATGTTAGATTATTAAAAGACAATTGTTTATTTGCTATATATATTTTTCCATGTTATATTATATTATATTATATATATATATATATATATATATATATATATGTATGTGCTGGGTAAAAAATAATCTCGATTAATTGCATCCAAAATAAAAGTTTCTGAATGCTATGTACATTTATTATGTAATTAAATACACACATGCATGCATATATTTGAGAAAATGTTTATTTATATTTAGATGTAAAACATATGTGTATGATACAAATTAGGTATAAATTTAAATATTTATGTAACAAAATTGTTGTGTATAGTTTTGATTTTATGTACAGTTGAAGAATTATCAGAATTATTAGCCCACCCTGAAATATTAGCCCCCTTGTTTATTTTTTACCCAATTTCTGTTTAATGGAGAGAAGATTTTTTAACAAATTTTAAACATAATAGTTTAAGTCATTCCTAATAACTAATTTATTTTATCTTTGCCATGATGATAGTCAATATTCTTTTACAAGATATTTTTCAAGAAACTTTTATACAGCTTAAAGTAACATTTAAAGGCTTAACTAGGTTAATTAGGTTAACTAGGCAGGTTAGTAAAATTAGGCAAGTTATTGTATGACGATGGTTTTTTCTGTAGACTGTAGAAAAAATATATAGCTTAAAGGGGCTAATAGTTTTGACCTTAAAATGGTTTTTAAAAATTAAAAACTGGTTTTATTATATATATAAAAAAAAATCAATCAAAGGGGGGCTAATAATTCTGACTTCAACTGTGTGTATGTATATTTAAATACAAAAACATATATTATGTCAAAACAAACCTTTATTTTAAATGTGATTAATCTTTACCCAGAATTTTTTAAAGCAATGTAATAATAAATTGGAAATCAACATTAATATTTATTAAATACTACTCATGTTAAAAAATAAAACCTTACTGTATAGTATTGCCATTTGTTTGTTTGTTTGTTTGTTTGTTTGTTCATTGTTCTAAAGCAGGGGTACCCAAACTTTTTTCATATGCAGGGCCAAAAACCAAATATTATTGAGAGCCATGGGCATAAGGTAAACCAAACTATATTACATTAAAATTGCAATGGGTCATTAAGTAATTTATTTAGTAATATTTCAAAATAAATAGAAAACATTACTTTAAATCCTATAACAGCAGTATAACTTTTTAAATGATAACATATTGCATTAAAAACATAAACAATTACATTTATGACACAGAGGACACGGAGGAGTTCAATGCTGAACACACTAGTCAAGCAGAATGTGTTACTTTTGACTTGCAAAGCCTGCATATTTAGGTGACAGTATGTACATTTAAACAAAATTTGATTAATTAATGATTAATCAGATAAATTGACAGTCTCAAAAGGATTCCCATCATTCTCACTCTCTTCTCAGTTGGGATGACGGGCTAAATCAAAGGTTACCATGGGCCAACTTTAGCCCACGGGCCCTAGTTTGGGCATCTCTGTTGTTAAAAATAAGCCAAATATTATTAGCAAATGTAAGAACAATAAACAATTCAGGAAAACAAATCTTACAACTTGGCACATGAATGTTACGTTTTTAACTGTAAAACAATACAAATATTACGATTTATTTGCAGTGTATGTTATAATAAGAAAAGTGTCAGATGTTAAGCTGTTAAACCAATTATTTTTGTATTATCTGTAATGTGTGATCTGTGTGATGTGAAAACACGTTATTAATGATGAAATACTTTCTGAATAGCAACACCACCGAGATGTTCAGTTCTCTCTGCCACTACACCCTTGTACTATCAATAAATAATCCATTATATAATGCTTAGATTATAACATTCTCAGGTACAGTAAAAGGAAGTGAACATGTATGTATACAAATAATATGCTCATGTAATCGGTTTCCTTTTATTGTTATTTAATAATAAAGACATTCTTATATTAAACTATCACATCAATACTGTTTCCCAATTTCAGACTTTAATTTAGTTCGTGTCTTGCGATTATAAGTTCTGAACACTCACTTGCGAGTTTATTGCAAAAGCATTAAGGGCGTGTCGGAATCTACTTTTGCTATTTTAAGGATGGAAAAATCCGCTTTGCGCTGTGGCGCATGGTCTAAAAGGGTTGAGCTTATTCTCTCAATGAGTTATAGGTGTGCTTTGAGAATAAACCAATCAGAGTCTCATCTCCCATTCCCTTTAAGAGTCAGTTGCGTCACGCCATAGCGCATTTGCTATTTACATGGCTGATTTTGAAAGTGAAAAAACTGAATGCTTCACTAGAGAGAAAACAGTTAAACAGAGCATCTGCAGCGCGAGAATGAGAGATGAGCCTCCTCATTGTTTACTTTCACTTTCACTCTCATGAATAGAGAAATGTGTTGTACGCACAGACATCCATTAGCATACATAATTATTTCGTTTGTTAAGCACAAAGATTTGTTTTAAAACTATTTCTAAATTCAGTTCTAATTTCTAGCAAACGAAGAAATGAACAATAATAACGCAGTGTGTTCAAAAATTTGAGTTATATCTAAATACACATGCTGTGCCCCATATGGTCTCAAAGGTGGGCAAATCTAAGCTTGTTTTTAATAAAACAAATATAAATATGGATATAATAAATAATACTGCTAATAATAATAACATTATACAAAAGCAAATTGTCATGAATAAACTGAAAAAGCCTCCCGAGATGAAGAAGGCATGAAAGTATGGTTTTTATATTTATGAAGGCTAGAAAATAATATGTTTTGTAATATTTTAATCCTTTATATTTATTTCCTATATATATATATATATATATATATATATATATATATATATATATATATATATATATATCCTTAATATTTTCATTCTTTTTCATATGTAAAGATATCTGCGTATTGCTGTACATCCTGTCTGTATTAAGCAATGTGTAAGCAAGGCGCACAGCTAACGCGCTCTGCGCTGGACTTAGGACCAGTTTGTTCTGGTCTGTTGAACAGTTTATTATAGTTTCTCAAAAAAGCAATATGCCAGCAATGCACCTCAACATGCCTCCTTTATTAGACCAGAACGCCTATGCATGCCAGTAGCCAGGAGGGGTTCAGGTGGTTCGAAAGATCCACCCCCCACGGCCAAAGGTTCAGAATTTGTCATTTAATTTTTTAATGTAATTTAATAATATATAATATATTTATTATATAATTAACATAATTATATTTATATTTAATATATATTGTGATAAAGTGTCATTTTAAATAACTATGGCCAGTAATTGGAATCTCGGGACTCACGTGACATAACCCACTGAATGGTCACATTTGAATTTCCATAATTGATGTATATATTAAATTGCTATTGCTGTCTATTGAAGGTGTGTGTGTGCTGTTAACGACGATCAGGGAGGGAAGTCATTTGCATAAATATGAATTATGACAATTCTAAAGAATACAAAAAAACATGTTTCTTATAAAAACATGTTTACTAGCACAAAACATGTTCTAACTTTTCAGGCCTGCAGCCAGGGCCCAGGGGGGTTCAGAAGACCCACCCCTCACCGACAAAGGTCCAGAATTTGTCCCATACATGAGCTCATTTGTCCTATTTTGACTGCTATGCCATCATAAATAACAAAAATAACCCATCGAAAAAGGCTTTAAGACCAAACGGAATCCTCAGTCGGCTGTTGCTTCGGTGGGACTATAATCTGATGTAAGAGAAGTCTTCTTTCACTACTGTATTGTTTTTAAACAGAGAAAACATTTTACTGGTAACTTTATTCAAAATCTTGGACCTTGTTTCTGAAATAAAAATGAGCAATAAAAAGATGTGAAGCTCCATATTAAATTTATTTGAATCTATTTTGGCTATTGTTGATATCCAGGAATTTTCAAATGTACATTTTTTACCAAAGAGACTGGAAAAATTCAGCAGAATTCATTATAATTGTTTAAATATTAAATATTATTTTATTTTTTTATTGAAATGGCCAAATTGTGACTGAGGGCAGTTGCATGTGCTGGCCAGTTTGTTTTCTGTCTAATAAATGATATTGGGCTTTAGTTTTCTTACTTTAACAGATTCCTATTTTTCCCTAATTGTATTTGATGCAATAAATTTATATTTTTAAAATGAATCTTGTTTTTTTTATTGCAGTTTTTTAGGAAATATTTTTAGTACATCAAAAAGTGTGGTTATGATGACATCTAGTTAATCCAGTAAGAAAATAAAAATAAAAAATCACTAAAATTCAGTATTTAAATCTCATAGTTAAATAGAAACTGAAATTTTTTATGAAAAAAAAACACCCTTTTCACCAGGCTGGCTACAGGCCTACTGTAACACCCATTCTTGTATTATGAAGCAGTAAACTGAGTGATCTAGGGGCAAAGTGCCATTTATTTTGCTGTTTATTTTATTTATTTTCCTGTTTCTTGGTTCAGTTAAGGTCTAAGGGAAGTATTTGTAATTTTTTTGCTGTATTTTTTGATTATATCAGGTAAGTTGGGCAGCACAGTGTGTAGCACTGTCGCTTTACAGCAAGAAGGTTGCTGGATCGAGCCTCAGCTTGGTCAGTTGGCATTTCTGTGTGGAGTTTGTATGTTCCTCCCGTGTTCCCTCCGGGTGCTCCGGTTTCCCCCCACAGTCCAAAGACGTGAGCCATAGGTGAATTGGGTAAGCTAGATTGTCTGTAGTGTATGAGTGTGAATGAGAGTGTATGGATGTTTCCCAGTGATGGGTAGCAGCTTGAAGGGCATCCGCTACGTAAAACATACGCTGGATAAGTTGGTGGTTCATTCCGCTGTAGTGACCCCAGATTAATAAAGGCCTTAAGCCGAAAAGAAAATGAATAAATAAATAAATAATTGGTAAGTTATCTTTGGGGTATATTTTTTGTTTATTATCTTGTCTTTGCTCAACTCTGAAGCTATTTTTGTTTGCACTATATATATCTTTGTTTTCTGTAAATACAAATTTTTTCTCTTTTCCTCACAATAAAAGAACCGTAAGGTCATAAAAATCATAACTTACTAACGGTTCATTTATTTATTTATTTGTTTATTTATTTATTTATTATTTATTTTAACGTATGCTTCGACCTCAGCCCTAAACATTTGTGGTCAAAAAGTTGTAAAATGTAAACATAAATGTAAAAAATAAAATAATAAAAGAAATGAGAAGTGATATTAACATTCCGAATTCTGAGAAAAACATTGTGAATGTATAAGTTTACTTCTTGCAATTCAGACCCTTTTCTTACATTTTTATTGCATTTTAACATTTTGCTATACAGTTTAAAGTCATGTTGTACAGGTGAATTGGGTAGGATAAATTGTCCATTGTGTATGATTGTGTGTATGTGTGTGTGTAGATGTTTCCTACAGATGGGTTGCGGCTGGAAGGGCATCCGCTGCATAAAAACGTGCTGGATAAGTTGGCGGTTCATTCCGCTGTGACGACCCCGGATTAATAAAGGTACTAAACCAACAAGAAAATGAATTTATGAACGAAGCCAAAATTCTAAGGCAATGTGGTCAGGAATGTGAGAAAGATACTCAGATTATAAAATACTCAGAAGGTAAACGTCAGAATAGCAAAAAAGTTCAAATTGTGTGAAATTACTGTAACTTTTAAAGAAAAATGTCAACATTTTAAGACGTGAATTCAGAATACACGAAAAACATCTGAAGAGTAATATCAAATGTCAGATTTCTGAGGGAAAAAAAAGCTCAAAGCTGCAAAATGTCAGACAGGTTTTGCAACTTATGCACTTGTATTTGAGTTTTCATTCTGAAACTGCAATAAACAGACATACACATCTAATTATAGAAAAGGACAAAAATCTGACCTGCCATATATAAGCTCATAATTGTGAAAAAAAAAAACAGTAAAAAAAGAAAGAAAAACGTACAGAAAATGTCTGCATTGTGAGAAAAGTCTTAATTGCGATTAAAAAATTACAAATAATCAAATGTGCAAGATAGAAATTCAGGATTCATAGAGAAAAACTAGAACTGCTAGTTTTAAACAAAAGAAACGAGGAAAGCTGCCAGATTTGCAGGATATAAAATATATAGTAATTCTTAGAAAATGTAAGAACTTTAACACGTAAATCCAGTTTTATAGTTATACCTCAGTAATATTTATGACTTCCATAAAGAAAACCAAAAATTTGTAAAAAAATGTCAGAACTATTACATGTAAACTCTGATTTAAGAGAAAATATAGAATTGCAAGTTGAAAATGACTTTAGAACCTATCATACACCCGGCGCAAAGAGGCGCTAGTTTCAGCTCGGCGCATGAGTAATTTTCAAGTTTTGCGCCAAAACTTCAAAATTGCAAATGCGTTTGCGCTCATATGTGCGCCCATAGTCACAACAAAAAAACAAGTTTTTCCCTCATAATTATTTTAATTAGCAAAATTCTTTTTTTTTTTAACTTTCCCCTCTCATCTAGCAATTTAGATATCTCTTTTGTTCTAACATTAGGGCACTTCAACAGTATTAAACATTTGCATTCCACAAGCTTTTATTATGAAACAAAATCCTGACTTTTATTTTGAAAGTACACCTGCAGGAAGACCTAGAAAGTGCGGAAGTTGTTTTACTGGCAAATATCGTTCCTGTTAGCTGTCCTGCTGCAAATCGAGCTACTTACAAAAATAACAGAAATATGCGTCAGATTTCGACCATAACATATTAATATTTCAATTCAGCCGCGGACAGTGTTCTTTCGAACAGCGTATGCACTTGTTTTTAAGGTCAGTTGTTATTAAAAAATAAAGCATCAGGGCACTCGTGAATTGCACAGCCACCTGTAGCTGAGCGCAGCAGCTGTCACTCAACTGGCCTATGCTTTATGATACAGTATTATTGACAGGAATATGAGCTTCTTCGGCTTCGGACAGACCGCTGAGATCGATATCGTGCTGAATGACGCCGAAACCAGGAAGAAAGTTGAGCACAAGACTGAAGATGGCAAAAAGGACAAATATTTCCTTTTCTATGATGGCGAAACTGTAAGTGGCAAAGTGAACGTGACTCTCAAGACTCCTGGAAAGAGACTCGAACATTATGGCATTAAAATCGAGTTCGTCGGGCAGATAGGTGAGTGTTTTGTTGGTGAATGCACGGTTGGGGTTGTGTTTGTGTAAACGTGTGGTGGTGTGCTTCACAGAGCTCTACTATGACAGAGGGAACCATCATGAGTTTGTGTCGTTAGTGAAGGATCTTGCCCGACCTGGTGAACTTTCACAGTCGCAGACCTTTGATTTTGAGTTCACCCATGTGGAAAAGCCATATGAATCTTACACTGGACAGAATGTCAAGCTGAGGTAAACCTGTCTGTTATTTATTAAAGTCAAGTTGGTTTTATACTTCCACATTCGTTTATTTTAACCCTTCCTATATTGTTTACCACGACAATTTGAATATTGGGTCTGATATCGCATTAAACTATGACTTCAAAACAGCATTTGCAATTATTTAATTGACTGAACAATGTTTTACTTTGATAATCATTGACTCCCCTTTTTGAAATTAGCAAATACCTTGAAATTAGCAAATACCTAATTCTGAAATTATATTATTGGGGAGAAAGTCTGAATTAGAACCAACTTTACTTCAATCTGTTGTTTCTAATCTATAATTAAGTTACTAATCTGTTAGACGTATGAGCCTGTTTCTGTCACATGATTTCAAAATTCAAAGGTAATTGCGACGTTATATTTCACAAGTTCTGACTTTATTTCTGTCAGAATTCAGATTTTTGTAGTTTGCAGTTGCAAGTTTATTTTCAACAATTTGGAGAAAATTCGTAACTGTGAGATATAAAGTTGTGTCAATCAACTTGATATCACAAAAAATCTCTCAGTTCTGAGCTTTTTTTTCTGAGAAATCTGACTTTAATATTACTCTTTAGATGTTTTTTTATGTATTTTGAGTTTACATCCAATTCAAATTTTTTTTCTCTAAAAAGTAAATTTTTACATTTTTTTCCAAAGTATTTGAGTTTAAAACCTGCAAATCTGATGTTTTTCTCAGAAATCTGAGTTTCTGTCTCACATTTCTGATGAAGTAAAGTTGGTTTATATTCGCACATTCGTTCAGTGACAAATTGTAACATGCTCCTTATATTCTTTACTGTAGTACTTTGAATATTCAGTCTGAAATCACATTTAAATATAACGTCAAAGCCGCATTAGCACGATTTAGTTGACTGAATTGACTGTTGTACTTTGATAGACATTGGCTGTTAATATTATTTATCTATGTGCAAAAATAGAGCCAACTTTACCTCAATCTGTTGTTTCTAGTCTATAATAGTTACTAATCTGTCAGACGTAGAAGCCTGTTTCTGTCACATGATTTCAAAATTGACTTTTTGTTTCACAAGTTTTGACTTTGTCAGAATTCAGATTTTTGTATGTTTACGTTTTGTGATTGTAGCCATTGAGACTAAGCTATGAGTTTAATTTTTAACAATTTAGAGACAATTAATTATTATAAAATATAAAGTGTATCATGAATTCGAATCTTGCAGCCATGAGCTTTTTTCCTCAGAAATCATACATTTGACTATTCAGATGCTTTTTGTGTATTCTGAATTTGCATCTTAAAATTATAGATTTTTTTATGTAAAATTACAGTAATTTCTCACAATTGAAACTTTTTTTGCTATTCGGACATTTATCTTAGAAATCTGAGTGTCTGTCTCACATTTCTGACTAAATGTGACCAAATTTTGGCTAACATTTCTGATTGCCTTAGAATGTTGGCTTATTTTTCATAATTTACACCTTTTGAGATTACATCGTGCAACTCTGACTTGTTTTCCTCAAAATTCTGAGTTTACATTTTTAAAGTTTTGGCTTTTTTATGGAATTGCCTTTTAATTTATTGCTATTCATTTTGAATTTTCAATTCAGCAGTTATTTTAAAATAAAAACCTGCCTCTCTAAGAAAAAAGACGTAGATATTAGATATAAAAAATGTCAATTGTAAAATAAAAGTTCCTCATTACATAAATATATTACATTTTTTAAGAAAGAATCTTCCATGATCAAAAGCCCTTTAGAGTTGTTTCTTGAAACTGATATTTATCCGAAAACGATCATAGTTTTACCCATACACACCAATATGAGCATAAAGGCAGCATGGAGTCAATATTAAGCATACACATGATGCATAGTGAACCATTTAGAGCAGGGGTCACCAATCCTGGTCCTGGAGGGCCGGTGTCCCTGCAGGGTTTAGCTCCATCTTGCCTCAACACACCTGCCTGGATGTTTTAAGCATACCTAGTAAGACCTTGATTAGCTTGTTCAGGTGTGTTTGATTAGGGTTGGAGCTAAAATCTGCAGGACACCGGCCCTCCAGGAACAAGTTTGGTGACCACTGATTTAGAGAAACAGAATATACTTTAATATCTTGAGTATGATCTGTTTAGATACTTTCTCCGGGCAACAATCAGCAGAAGACTCAATGATATCAGTAAAGAGATGGATATTGTAGTGCAGACACTGTGCACATATCCTGAGATCAACTCCTCCATCAAGATGGAAGTGGGAATTGAAGATTGTCTTCATATTGAGTTTGAATACAACAAATCCAAGTAAGTATCCATGCTGAAACCTGTTTATATGTGTAAAACACCTTGGTCATTCGCTAAGTTTTGTACAGTTCAACTCTTAAAAATGCATTGATTATGTCGTTTTATAGGTTCCTACTATCATTTTGAAAGATAAATAATTTTTAATAATATACAATGCAGCATCAACTTTCTTTCTCACACACTTTCTGAAATTATTCATTCAAGGATCTGTAAACTGAACCTTTCTGAGAATTTACTGTCCTCTCATTGGTCATATGGTCCAGTCTATTGTGAGACTGCCAAGGCACTTTAACAATTAAATGTATATATTCCAATTAAAAATCTTCTAATTATAACGAGATGTCACAAAGCAAATTTAGGGGCCTACTATGGGCAGTTTTTGTATTAAATTAATTATAAATTATATTAATTTAATCTTTGTTAAATAATTGAACTTGCCTATGTGGATGTGTTAATTTACAGAAAATTAAGGAAACCTACAGAATCTGACCTCTTACAATTTGGTGCTCTTTAGGTACCACTTGAGGGATGTTATCGTAGGAAAGATTTATTTCCTTCTTGTGAGGATAAAGATTAAGCATATGGAAATCGATATCATAAAAAGGGAAACAACTGGAACAGGGCCCAGTGTCTACCACGAAAATGACACTATCGCCAAATATGAGATCATGGATGGGGCACCTGTGAGAGGTAAAGCTAAACTTTTCATCATGTTTATTTTTTTGTGGTTAGTATAAAAAAATACATATAAAATGATTTATTTATTAAATATATAATTATTATCCTTCCTGTTAAAAAAAAAAAAAAAAAAAAAAAAATATATATATATATATATATATATATATATATATATATATATATATATATATTTTTTTTTTTTTTTTTTTTTTTTTTTTTTTTTTTTTTAATTTTTTTCCCCCAATTTCTGTTTAAGAGAAAAATTTAAGACATTTAATTTTTAAACTAATTTCTAAAAACTGATTTCTTTTATCTTTGCCAGGATGACAGTACATTATATTCTACTAGATATTTTTGAAAATACCAATAAAGTGCAATTTAGAGGCTCAACTAGGTTAATTAAGCAAGTTATGGTAATTAGGCAAGTCATTGTATAACAGTGGTTTGTTCAATAGACAATCGAAAAAAGACTGCTTAAGAAGGACTAATAATTTTGACCTTAAAATGGTTTGAACATTTTTTAAAAACTGCTTTTATTATAGACAAAATAAAAAAAATACTACTTTCTCCAGATGGAATAATATAATAGGAAATACTGTGAAACATTCTTGCTCTGTTTTAATATCACTTTAGAAATATTTGAAAAATAATAAATAATTAAGAGGATTAATTAATTTAATTTTAAAATTATTTTGCCCTGAACTGTATATAAATCAGATTTTATGCAACTTAAAACTAAAATATGTGAAGAGTTTTTGCAAAATTTGCAGGAAATTTTGTGGCATTTCTTTGTTTTGCTGTGAAAGTTTACACAAGTGTACACATCTTAACTATTAATTATTTATTTGACCTCAAGAACCATTGAATTCTGTAATTTAAGTAAAGGTAACACAAAAAAACTAGACTTTAGCCCTAAAGCAGCTGCATCATATTTGAAAATGTCCCATGTTGTTTGTCAGCTATTTGAACATGTTAGTGGAAATGATGCAAAGCATGTACGCGTACAGTACGTGTGTGTTTTGTGAGAGAGAGGGCTATGCATATGACAACAGGATGCATATACAATATTTAGAAAGTCGGTGACTTTTTATGCCATATTTTCATCATGAACAAAAGAGGTCCCCAAGATTTGTATTTATAGGCCCATATATCAGTTATTTACTTCCAAACAGAAAGGGCTATTGGTTATTTTTAAATAAACTCAATTGAGGACTTTGCAGGTTTACTATGTCTGTATATAATAACTTCTATATGATTGCAATGTAATTGTAGTTGCTTTGAAACAGTAACTATTGTAAAAAGTACTATACAAATAAACTTGAACTGAAATAAATTATTTGTATAAGCCACAATTTTCATTTCAGCGCATCTCTATCATTACCCTAAATTGTAGTTCTTCTCAATCCCCAACAAATACTTCAATTTTAAAAGTATTCAGAATGAAAATTAAGTATCAAGCAGATATTATTGTACTATTCAAGCTCACGGCTTTTGCTCCTGTGTACTTTCAAGGGGAGTCCATCCCCATCCGCTTATTTCTGGCCGGATATGAAATGACGCCAACCATGAGGGACATCAACAAGAAGTTCTCTGTGCGTTACTACCTAAACCTTGTGCTTATAGATGAGGAAGAGCGACGATACTTCAAACAGCAGGTCCACTACTGCATACAACATCTCTCAGTAATGTAGTATGAGTACTACATTAGTACTCATGATCTGATCACATTCCTGTTCATTCCCAACAGGAGATCACACTCTGGAGGAAAGGAGACATCGTGAGGAGAAGCATGTCCCAACAGGCCACTATAGCGGCTCAGAGGTATGAGGGATCAAACCCTGAACCTACGTCAGCGCAAGCCAAAGAGGAGACCGACTAGACGTTCTCCGTTCCCTCAACCGCTGAAACGAACCTTGTTACATTAAAATGTTTTATACGTCTTGAAGGGATCAAAAATGAGAATCGTCGCTTCGTGAGATCAAAACATAAGAATTCCGCTTGTAAAAGGCTAGGCTAGCTAATTCAACGTGTATAGATTACAAACTATTTTTTTATTTCTCCTTCAAATACCGCATGTTTTCGTTACACGAGTGACCAACGATTTTTGAAACGATCTTCTCATGTCTACGCCACTGTTATATATTTGATTGAGTTGTACGTCTCAAAACATTCCTCTTAAGTCTAGTGCACTGAGGAGTCAGAATCACGCTTCTATACTTTTGTCCTGTCTAATGAGCCCTAAATGAGATTTACTGTGATCTTTTTGTCTTATGAATTTTGCGCTTTATAGAGCTCTGCACAGTATTATTCTGTCGTTTAGGGCATTATAAATGAAGGCCTGCGTAGAAATGTGTTATAAGGGAAATTCTTGTCAACTACTAACTTGTGCAAATCAGTGTCTTTTTCATGACTATTTTTATTGAATCTTTTTTTGATTTGGTGTCTTAAGTGTTTATTTCCTGTTAGAAACAATCAACAGAATCGTCAATATCGACAGCAGTTCCAGTATTCTCAAATTTACACATGCTGTCGTAGAAAAAAAAAATTATGATTGATTGCTACTCATTTTTAAGGTGAATTTTCCATTCTTACATGTGTGTATCATTGTATTATACTAAATATTTCTTTATTAGCTGTTCAGGTGATGAGGAATGACTATTAACTGCCATGCAACAGTGAAAACTTCTGCAAAAGGCTTCTATTTAATCAGCCCTATTGTAATAAAATTTACTAACCTCTGCATCCAAGATTATTTCTTTTTTTACAAAAAGCTATATGATAATATAACGTACTTTTCAAGATTGTGAAAAATTCTGGTATTATTGAGTGTTTTTTTTACATTTTATTAGCAGTAATATTTCAAATGTACAATACTCATTGGCTACTTGAGGAGCAGCACGTATATTGGTTACAAAATAACTGACTAGAAAACAGAAAATGGGAAATAATCATTAGAGAATGGGATGGAACAGACTTTCATGACCATCTTCATATTGGATCTTCATTCTCCAAACTCAGGACAAACTCGAACTCCTCTGAAAATGAAACAAAAATCGCAGATTATGTGTGTGTATATATACTTGCATATAGTACTACATGCAGTTTGTGTTTGCTTAAATTAAAAAAATAAAAAATCATGTTTATTTTAAAACAATTATGAATTTTCTTTAAGCAAAATAACTGCATTTAATAATTCATATGTCTTTAATAAATATTCTGATAATAAATGATCAATTTAAACATGTATAAATATTTCATACAAAAATAAAACTATATTTCTTGGTTTATTTTTACAATTATACACACACAGACATACATAATCCTCAAATGTGTATTGATGTGAATAACCTGCAGTGAGGGGCTGAACAGACAGTCTGGCTCTGGTGAAAAGGGACATGTCTTTGAGTGGGCCGCCCTTCACTCTGTGTTCCAGGTGATATTTCTTCAGCTCAGCGAGAGGAATAAAGCGCTTGACCATCCGTTCAAACTGAACATCCACCTGTACACAGTTCATCTCTGGTCACTTCTGATTCCCAAAATGCAAATAATACCTCTATTAATGTGTGTAAACTCATACCATATGCCATTTAGGGTTATCTGCTTTGCTAGAGGGGTCATAATGTACATCTTTCTTGTCAAACTGTGTATGGTCCACATAAGCCTCTTTAACAATCTGTGAAAATGATTCATAACATGATTCTTATTATCTGCTTCTTAAGCGCTCAGTATATTGACTCCTCACCTTCATGAGGCCAGCGATGCCTGGCTCTTTGCAGTTACTGTGGTAAAAGAAGGCCTGCTGGCCTACTTTCATTTCTCTCATGAAATTTCGGGCCTGAGGGGAAGATTTTTCAACTTAATAAAAGCTTTAATTACGTGAAAATGTGAAAAAATATTTTGATTAATATAGTATCAGTCAAAGTTCACCTGATAATTCCTCACTCCATCCCAGCATCCCGTCTGATTGGGAAGAGCTTTGAGGTCTTCAATTCCAAACTGCATTTGGAGACATGAGATCATGTTTTGTTATACACTTTATTTCAAGACTGATTTTTTAGTGTGTACTAAAGGATGTTTTTCTTGTGTTTTCTATTCAATATATTTATTATGTAGTTCTCTATAATATAGTATTGCTAGACTCTTTCATGCAGATAAAATTAAACAGTTAAATACTTTAAAATACCTTCACATCCACTCCATTTTCAATCCGGCTCTCAGGTTCAGACTTCATCAGCCAGCGGCTGTAAGATGGTTTGCAGGCGTCATCGTCGTTCTTATTCTCCACATCACCTTTTACAGCTGCTGACCTTTTTCTTTTGCCAGTTTTGCGTTGTGCAACATCATCAGACCCCTCATTGAGGTGGGCGTCTGCATCAGCTAAAATAACAAACCATTATTTAACGAAACTTTTCTTCAGTAGACATATAAAACGATGCAGCCTTTACATTATGCAGATTACTTACAGTGTTTATTAGATTTGGCGCTGCTTCGTGTTTTCCTGGGTGGCATTTTTCACTAGCAGACCGTGCGGCACTCGTGATCAAACAGCGCCCTGGAGGATGACATGCGGTCTGGAGAATCAGAACTGGATTTAGTCCGCTTTTATTTTAATCTCATCCACGGAATGTGGGGTATACACAATGTGAACATTAAAAGACCTCTGTTGAAATCGATTGCAACTTGTAATATCTTCATGTACTAAAAAACTTTTTCGATGACCCACGTGGTCACCTGTTATGGCAAGCCGATTTAACCTTTAGCTTCTGAAACAACAGTAGCTTATCTATTTTCATGCTTTTTAAAAATAACTTGATACAAGTACTTATTTCTTATGGTACTTCCTAATAAAAAAATAAACAAGTTTATCCCTTCCAAACAATGAAAGATCTTTTATTTCCATAAGGAAGTGTGTCTTCTTGTAGTACTGCTTCCCATATGAAATAACCTCGCTTAGTTAAACTAACCACAAGGTATTTGCATTAGAACTGTGTTATTTGTATGACAACAATTTCAATTGTATTTTCACAACTTAAAAGTCATTCAAAATTAATATTGATCAACCAATTTTTTTTTCTTGTCCAAATGTAATTGCTGATGTCAAAATTGTAATTGTTTATATCAAAATAATTGTTAATAACTTAAATTCAGTTGTTGATAATTAAATTGTTGATAACATTAATTAAATTTTAGCCATTCAATCAACCATTGAAAAGCTAGTCATTTCTTTTTATTTTTGATAAAAAAAATTAATTTCATTGTGTTCATTTTTGCTATTGTGTATCTAATAGGCTATGTTGAAAAATATTTACAGATATCAGCCATCTACTTTTAAACTAGTATCAATTATTGATATCACTTATTTACACTGCTACTAAAATCATGTCAATAGTAGATTTTAAGAACAGACATTTGAACTAGATTAACAATAAAAAAAACTTTATAATTGTATTTCTGATATGTAAAATGGGAGTGACTTTTAACTAGTGAAAATACAATTATTAAGAATTACTTTTCTTACTAGTTGAGATTCAGTTCCTGTTATAAAACTACTGAATTTGAAATGTAATGGGCTCTATTTACAGCTAGTGTATTTCAGCCAATGATAAACTTCTGGTTAATGTGACTATTTTTTTATTTAATAAGGTTCCTTTTACAGTATCTGGTGTAATGTAACAATACATTCAGTTAAATAGACTTAAGACATTCATTAGTTGTTTAAGCGTAAAATGATATGAAAGACTGTGTAACTGCTAGCCCCGTCAGAATCAGCAGGTGAGCGCAGAAATTCTATTGAAAATACTGAGGTAAAATAAACCAGGGGCGCTTGTTAAAGTGTTAAAACGGCTTGCCATATACCGGCTTGTTTAAGATGAACTACAAATCAAGTCTGTATTTGAACTACATTACCTACAAGCCCCGTGGTTAGTCATCGCGTCACATAATCAACATGGCGGCTAGGGCACTCATAAGAGGTGTCCGATTGGGATCAAATAGTATCGGCAGACCACGCAGTTTAATATTTAACAGTTTGCATAGACGAGGAATAGCAGCTTGCATTGATCGTAAGTCAAATTTTTGAAAGCCTCTGATAATCATAGCAATTTGTTGAGAGATGAGGACAGTCAGTCATTTAGGGCTGCTAGATTGGATATGTGCGTCAGATATATGGTTTTAATAACTAACGTTATGCTATAACGTAGATTTAATGTCATATTCGATACTAATGTCAAATTTAGGTCTGTTTTTTTTTTTTTTTTGATCTAATGTTTGTAGAGGTACAGGTTAAAATTTTGTTCCTACTGATTTAAAAATAGGAAGTTTTATTTTTTTTTAAAGAGTGTCCTAAATCTAATTTTACTGGGCTTGCATATTAAAATTTTTATTATACATTTCTCCTTAGTAAACAGAGTTGTTGTTAAGTTAAGTTGTTGTTAATCGAACGTCAGCTGTGCCTTTTTGGAGTTTCAGAGTTGATGAAATTGTACATTACTTTGTACAAAATTGACAACAAATATTTATAAAAATTCATAATTTCTGTAACAAAGTTGAAGTTCGTGGTTCCTCAAACGCCATTGGTTGTCTGTTAACAAGCTCCGCCAATCATATTTGGGGGTGTGTATGGCGCACAGTCGATTGGCTCTGATCAGACAGTTTTTTTTTTTTTTTTTTTGTCATCTTCTTGTGGTTCATCTTTCATTTGTCACCTCAACAGATGCTTCCAGTACATAAACCACTAATATAAATACTCAATTTATTCCCACAGCCTCTATAGGACTTACAGATGAACAGAAAGAGTTTCAGAAGGTGGCATTTGACTTTGCTGCCAATGAAATGGCACCACATATGGCAGAATGGGACCAAAAGGTAACCTGAACATCTGAAAGATTATTGTTATTATATAGCATTCCCACAGCTTCTACCACTGAAATAAGTTCTGTACATTCAGTCACTTCATATTTGCAGGAAAGTATGTTGGTCCTGTGACAGATTATTATCGAATTAAGTTTGACCTAAACTGTTTTGGAAATGCAAATGCTAATATTAATAATATTTGCAGGAAATCTTCCCTGTAGAGGCCATGAGGAAAGCCGCCGAGCTGGGCTTTGGTGGGATTTACGTGAACCCTGATGTCGGGGGGTCTGGACTGTCTCGTCTGGACACTTCTATCATATTTGAGGCTTTATCCACAGGTTGTGTCAGCACGACTGCTTACGTCAGTATTCACAAGTGAGTCCCCTCATAATTTATACATTTAAGTTTTCAATTTAAGATAAGATTAAAAACTCACTTAATTTTGGCATATTATTTCTTAAATCATGACCTTAAGTTTTGCTTAAAAAATGATTTTTGGTTTAAGAATATTTAGATAGTCTTCATTGTGTTGTAATTTATATGGATTACCTATGGGGCACATGCTTGTAAACTCATTTCATTTCATTTATGGTTCTTTGTATTTTGCAAAGTAATTATTGATTGTGTTGTCACAGTATGTGTGCCTGGATGATTGACACATTCGGAAACAATGAGCAGAGGGAGAGGTTCTGTCCTGATCTCTGCTCTATGCAGAAGTTTGCCTCCTACTGTCTCACAGAACCTGGTGAGTTCAGGATCCCATTTTTTTGTGTTCCTGTGTGGGATATTTCAGTGTCACTGTTAACTCAAACTGTTAACTGCACATTTCAAAGTAAAATGATACAAAAATTAACAATAGTTAAGTATAATAAAATTGACTGTAAGTAATATAGAAGCAAATATTCCTTCAATCCAAAACTGTTTTCTATTTGAAAGTATTTTAATAAATGTAGTTTTTTTTTCCTGTGGTGTCGAAACTACATTTTTAACACTACTACTGCAGTTTTACTGTAAGTGTCACTTTACATCTTTCAGTACAATGTTCAAAGCTTCATGTTTATCTTTTTATTTTATTATTATTTTTATTTGCATATATTTATGTTACACTTTATGTTATAACTCCTTTTTATTATTATTTTATTTTTTATTTTACAGATTAAAAAAATTATAATTTAAGTACAAAACTTTACCAAAAGAAAAAGGTAATATGCCGGATAATCTTCAATATGCCAGCATGCTCTTTTTAGATCAACTTCAACTTCCTTTATTGAGCACATTTAATTCAATTTTAGTTGGCCGTGCTGTTCAAAGGTTATAAAAAAACAGAAAGGAGGGGGAAATAAATAAATGCAAAAATCCTCATACAATTATTTGCAATTAAAAGCGCATGTGTGTGTGTGTTGTATATCTGTATTTATGCATACAATACATACAAACAGTTATGTCTAGTTCTTGAATCTGATTGGCTTATAGCTATGTGATATTCTGCAAATAACAGCACTCATCTAGCCTTTCCCCACTTTACGCCCTATGTCAGCATCAATGCTTCCCATTCACCTTGAATGGGTGACGTCAGGCGTTGCCGAACTGCATTGTGGATCTGTCAGCGATGCTTCAGTGGCGTTGCTTGCTGCAGAAGTTTGGACTTTCTCAACTTTTCAAGCACCAACAAAAGCATCAGCCAATCAGATCGCTGTATGCAAATACACCAGCTCAGACAGTAGCTGATTGCTAATTAATTTCGATGGCTGACGCTGCCATGATGATGGCGCAAGCCCCAACTTTAGACACGCCCTCTGTCAATCATTGATGCTGAAGCCCTGTGTGAATCAGGCGGTACCCTTGTGTATTACTCCCCCCACATACAGCAACAAGCAGAGGACACACTACAGTTTGACAAATTTTGCAGCTGTTGGACAACATAATGTACTTTTGGGTTTTCTTTTTGTGGAAAATGTAGTTGTTTAGATTGCAACTGTGCAGTTTATTTATAAAGATAGTGCCTATTTTAAAATATTTATAAATTCTGAGTGACATCGCGTCGGCATTAGCCTGTCTTTGAGCAAAGGCGTTAGATGTTTATTCACAATATGGTGACAGAGACCGCATAATAAGCGATTAGAAGAGAAAAACAGAATAATTTCTAACTACAGCTGATCAAATCATTACTAAACAGGTAAGTGACATTCTAAGTCAATATAATTGTAGTGTATTGAGTGTGAGATCTTTGTATAACCCTGATTTACCTTCTGGTTGACCATCTGTTTCTAATGAAATCTCCTGTTTTCGTTACTGCAGACTAGTTCAGTAAAAGAAAGAAAGAAAGAAGAAATGCCCGCATGTGTTTAGTGTTTTAGTGTTGTATCGCAAGCACAATAGTAATCTGATAGTGTTTGCAATGCTTTGTCTTTTTCGGGGTTAATTATTGTGATCTCTCGATTGCAACAGACAAATACTAAGAAATCTCTGTAGACAGATGGCATTTCATGCCGTTCAGCCTCATAATCTTAAAATGTCAGCAAAATCACCTGTTTTGTTATCACTTTAGACATTACGCTAGAAAATCATTCAAATACTAGCTCTAAAGGGATGTTGGTGTATGTGCAACAGTTTCTGCTGTTCTGACGTCAGCTGCAGGTGTGAATGAATAGTGGAAGAAAG